AGAGGAAGTTACGATTCAGCATGTGCCTTGCTGAAACCGAGTTTGTTGCCAGTGTTGCATTTGTTGTGATGGAAACTCAAACATTGCAGCTAAGCTTGGCTTCAACCTTTTGATTGACCGAAGTGGCAAGCTACTGATGAAGAAGAAGGCTGTCTTCAACAGAGACATTGCCATTAATGCTAGAGTGCCTAGGCTTTGATGGGAATGGGGTTTTCTTATGTTGTGATTTCTTGGCTGTGGCTCCTGCTGCAGCCGATTCCCAGGCAATCTCTGCGGTGATGAGGGCCTCGGGAGATCGTCGGCGGTATTCTTCGCATGTGATAGCGCATGGGATTTTGCATTGGTATGGCGCTACAAGCCAAATGCCCCGAGGGATCAGTGTTAACTGCAGTTCTGTACGGGATTGGGCGCTGAGAACGGGCAATGCCTTACGCAAGCTGGCCTTTGGCTCAGTACATACTGAAATCATTGAAACCACAAGTCTTTCTAGGAGGCCCCATGTAATATGTTGCCCGTGTAGCCTGGACTTAGGCGACAAAGCTGAAAGAGCTTTGTCGGCGGACAGACCAATCTCATGATAAAGCCCTGGCAGAATTGAAGCAAGAAGTACTTCCCTATCTTCCTCCACCGAAAGTTGTGAAGTCCAAGAAGTGTGCTGATCCTTGATGCATTATGTAAATTTGCCACCTTCTTCTTGACCTTACTCCACCCCCCCCCCCCCTGCCCCCTCCAGTTCCCGGCCAAATAAGAGAACACCCTAGCCTTGGGGATAGGTAGGCCTTATACATGAACATTGCCTCCTGGCCTTCAGGATACATCCGAAGCGGTGGACTCCAAGAAGGTCTTCCCGATCTCGCCGAAGGTGGAAATTGCGAGCCTTCAGAGATTGAGTAGCTTCGAGTCTGCTGTCACGCCGGTTCCGAAGCTTGAAGCTTATGACCCCACCATTAGGGTTTAGGGTTTAGGGTTTAGGGTTTAGGATTTAGGGTTTAGGGTTTAGGGTTTAGGGTTTAGGGTTTAGGGTTTAGGGTTTAGGGTTTAGGGTTTAGGGTTTAGGGCCTAAATAGGGTCTACAGGGTCAAGATATAGGGTTTAAGGTTTAGGGTGTAGTGTTTAGGGTTTAGGGTTTAGGGTTTCTCTTTGTATGGTACTGAAGCTGGCTCAGGCTCCCAAGAAGCCCAGCTCTACTTTGGATACACCGCCCAAGATCGATCTGGTTCGCCTGAAGCAGCTTGTATGTACATATTGTTTGAATGGAGTTGCAAGTATTCTTGCTGCTTTGATTTTTGAGGGTGTCAAGGCAGTGTCTTGTAGCCTACAAGGAGCATTGTCGACACTGTGAAGACCGGTGACACTCAGCCGAAACCATCTGTGGCCGAAGTGGTGGCCAAGCTCCAAGCCAGCAGGTGTTCCGAAACAAACAAGTATGTCTTGCCACAGCAGGCTTCGTGTCTGCACTAGTGAATTTCTTTAATGGCCAGAAAGCAAATTTGATTTGCAAAGCTGAATCCAATTTCTATAAATCAACCCGCAGCCCTGAATGTTTCGAAAGGTTTTGGACAGCCTGCAGAAGGTGTCCCTGGATGCGAAGCCTTTCCGCCCGTGTCTGCAGTGCCATGTCAGCATTGCAGAAGGAATTTAACTGAGTATGTTCGAGGGGTGACCCATATATATCACTGCAATTTACCATTGTTTGGCAGTAAATCGAAATAAGGTACAAGAATGATGATTATGTGAGTGGTGATGAAGAAGAGAAGATTGACGCCAACGATGATGCTGCAGTGTCTTGCAAGAAAGTGCTGAGCAAGAAGAAGAAGAAGAAGAAGACTTCTAAAAGCAAGAAAGGTAGCAACAGGCGGGGCCCAGAGATCAGAGACGATGACATGGATAAGGGTGAGCCAGGCCAACAGAAGAGGGCTGAAATTGAAAAGGGCCTTAGGGACCCAGGTTGCAAGTACAATCCTGGGTCTTTCAGGGAGGCCCGACTGGAGTTCATCTACAACAAGATGGAGGCAGAGGGCCTGCGTTTCATGGAGGCGGCAAAGCTTTGGATGCCCAGTTCTGAGCGGGCTTCCATGCTTCGAGGTTTGTCGAGCACTGAGCTTGCTCGAAGGCGGTTTGTTCCGGCCAAGAATCCCAGGCCTAGGAAGGTTAGCAAGGGAGCCCAGCAGGCATGAGTTTCATGCCTGAGGTCATGTGCTAGATTTGTGACTTAGAAAAATCTCGGGTTTAGCAGTTGCAGAAGAATCCAGGATGTCTCGATGGTTCCCGTGGCTTTGATTTTAATTGTTTGCACGTCTGCGCTGAATGTGTGCACATCTGTCGGCATGGTTGTGGAATCTCCCACCCCCGCCAAGCAATTAAGTTAGATGTGATCGTGCTCTTTGCCAGAGTGGCATGGAGATTGCAAACCTTGCTCTGCGATAGCAGCTGCAAATGGTGCTTCAGAATTGTGCTCTCTACCTTATACGTGTGTTTCGTTTGATCAGGATTGACATACTGCGAAGGAGCATGCAGTGTGTGTGATGAGTGGTTTTTTGGCTGCGACGCGATCTGTTGGCCTTTTCTTAGCCATGGTTGTCGCCGAGCTCCTGCAATGGAGGGCCCCTGTGCCAGTAGTTCTGTTGTCTGTCCTTCTGAACTTCCACCCAAGACTCCACCACAAACAGGACTGGTTTGAACGACTCTGCTCCTGAATGTTCTGGGTTCCATGTAGGATGCTTGCTCCCCCCCCCCCACCTTCCTTGCCTGCCAGGACTATGATTTTGTGGAACTCTATAGTGGATCTGGAGAGGTGAGCAGCAAGCTGCGACAGGAGCATTGGGGTTGGGAGGGCTGTGATCATCAGTTTGTTTGGATGAGAAGGAAATGTTGGTTTGCAGTTGCCAGGAGGGACTGGATGGAGCTTCAGTTGATATCATGGAGCAGCCTTCGAATATGGACTTGACAGGGGAAGTTGGGTTTGCCTTGGCCTTGAACAGTATACTCCGCCTACGGCCGGGAGGAGTGGTAGCTGGGCTTTGTTGTGAAAGCTTCTCGATGGTGTGGCTTGTAGCAAATTGGGAGTGTGTTGAAAACCAGTGATTTATGTCCAGGGGCCTGTGAAACCAGTTCTTGCTGCGCGCAAAGGGTTTTGCAGTTGTTCTTCTTGAAGTTTGCCATATGTGAATCTGCTCCCTTTGCAAGGTCCCGATCGGTTTCCGGTCCCTCCGCAATATTTCCTCTCGGCAACGAGGGGTACGAGTTTGTCAGTAGAGGGAATTTGCTGCTATCAAGGACCCTCTTTCTGCTGCTGGTTGCGGCTTGCAGGGGCTGTCGTTTCTTACTGGAACAACCCCATGGCTCCTGTCTCGACAACCACCCCCGCTGGCAGTGGTTTGTGGGAGACCATGGTGGACCACGGAATACTGGGGAACGATTGGCTGATATATGTGTTGCTTTGGCAGCAAAGCTGAATGAAGGCCACTAAAAGGGAAATGGTTGTTTTGGAAGGGAATAGGTAATTTCAGGACTAAATGTAGGGAACTGTTCTTTCGTTAGCCTCAGTGTTGCAAAGCCCTTAGATGGCCTGCCGGAAAGCACCCGTGAAAATGCGGGCAATGCAGGGTATAAGCCGGGAAAAGGGGGTTAAACCGCGTGATTCACGTGAACGGGTTTTGAAGGTACTTTTCTGCATATAGTCTTGCTTTCTGGCCAATTCGCTCCTTAATTAACTTCCGTGGCAAGAAGCACACTAAGCGCGGAGATGTCTCACGAAATGAAAAATCAGTGCGAGCTGCTGGGCTTTGCTTTTTGCAAAGAACTTCCAATTGTCGGTGCCCCCCCATTGGCCAGTTATAAATTCGGCCATTACTCAGAGTCTACAGTGTGTTTCCTGATTGAATCCCTTTTCATGGCCCTTTTTGGGCCCGAGATTCCCGCGGATTCCCCGGTGATTCCCTGTGATCCACGGGATCCCCACGTGAACCCCAGTGAACCCTGTGAAACCCGTGAACCCCGTGAACCCCGTGAACCCCGTGAACCCCGTGAACCCCGTGAACCCCGTGAACCCTGTGAACCCGTGAACCCCGTGAACTGGTTGAACCCTGTGAACCCCGTGAACACTTTTAAATCTGATATCAAATCTGTCTGCAGCCCCCCGAAAACCTTTGACCTCTGAATTTTGTGAATCCTGTTTTGCATGTGCTCTTGGCTTCTCATATTCTGCTTCTTTGGTCCTGTGCATCGTGTGCGACCACAATCCCTCCTATGTCAGTCACCTCAAAACCCTACACCCCAACCCCGACCGAACCCTGAAAGTGCCATACACGTTGCGCTGCATGCTGCTTTCCAGGATTGCAAATTATGATGTTGCTGCATGCTGCCTAGCATCAGGCTGATCAGCTCTCGGTCTTGTTTACCAGGATAGACAAGGCACGTCATGGCGCCTGCTCAGAGCAGGCCTTCCTCTGATGCTGCAGAGCTAAAGTGCGAGCGAAACCAGCGCATCAATGCTGCCTTGGCTCGTGGCAATGCTTTGAAGAAAGCAAAGGAGCAGAAAGAGCAAACATACACCAAGGACACCTTGCTCCTAGAGGATGGTTCGTGTACCATCACTTTGGGGTCTCTCATGGAATCTGAGCAGCTGGACTTTGCAAAGGCGGTGCAAGTAATGCATCAGTTCCGTGCTGAGGCCTCTCCTGCAGCCAAGGTGCCCGAACATCCCAAGCAACCAGCTGAGTTGCCCAAGCCTGCAGCAAAGGGGGGTCTCAAGATTGCCCCAACGAAGCCCCTGAGCCCACAAACATCCCCAGCAGAGTCAGTGGAAACGCAAGCAACCGGTTGACCCCGAAAGCAAGCCAGTGTCAGCCGAACCAGAAGCAAAAGCAAAGCCCCAGGCCAAGCAGGAAAAGCCCAAGCCCGTAGAACCCTTAGCTGAGGAAATGCCTGAACCCTCTGAGCCCTCAGCTGCCCCAGTGCCAAAGAAGAAAAGCAAGAAAGCCCAGAAGCCCGACACAGCAATGCCCCTTCCCGAGCCGACCCCCCTGCCAGAGCCAACCCCTGTGTGTGAAGCCGCTGATGAAGCTTTGGGGGAGGGGGGTGATGTGGATCAGGGCTCGAAGAAGCCCAAGGTGTCGAAGAAGAAGAAGTCGAGAAAGGCTGGAAAAAAGGGAAAGGCCAAGAAGGGAGGGTTGCCAAAACTCAGGAAGCTCGAGGCCAAGGAGGACCTGGAGGCTGAGAGTGGGGAGGAAAATCAGGAGGATGATGAGGTTCCGAAGGCCGACGAAACTATCAGGGGCACGGAGGAATACAACAGGGAGATTCAACAGTTGATCGATGAAATCGATGACCAGGTCGCTGGTGATAAAGGACATGAAAACGCTGTGGAAGGGGAGGGTACGCCGCTTGAGACGACCGAGGCCCCCAAACGCAGGCACTCCAAGAAGCGACCTGCGAGCCCGTTGCCAGTGGGTGGTGATGAGGGCATGAATGAACAGGTTTGGGACCAGGATGCCCAGCCCAGTTTCGAGGAGTCCCACCTCCATGGGGGTTGGTAACTGGGTTTGAATGTATTTCAAATGTTGTTTTTCTTCAGGGTGACATTATTGTGAAATTCGAGTGTGTAAAAATTTTATGTGTACATGTACTGTTTTGCTAAGGTCTTGCATGGACCTGGAGGTAGCCGAGAAGCAGATCGAAGCCACCAACCCCAACCCGGATCTTGCAGACACTGTGGTGAATGGTCCCGAAAGCTCTGTCTCCCAGCTGATGGAATCGTTGCTGGGCTGCAAGTTTAGTCAAATCCAAAAATACAAAGATCATTATGAAGTGCCAGCGACACTTTCCTGATTCACTCAGGTTGGGGGCCTCTGCCTCTCAAGTCAGCAGCAACACTGACTTCGCTTCGTTGCTGTTGATAGTTGGCAACTTGCAAAAGCAGTTAGCTGCTGCAAAGTCTAGACAAGAAGCCACAGCAGCGTTGCCTCCGCCTGCAGAGCCAGTGTTGCCCCCGCCCGTGCCCAGCCAGGAGGAAGCTCCTTGTGCTGACGAGGAGCTGGATGAAGAAGTAGCCTTGGATTCAGAGCAGGAGGAGATGGCCGATTGTGAAGCGACTGAGGAAGTGGAGTCTGAAGCAAAGAGTGCTTCTGAGGCTAAGTCAAAGCAAAAGGCCCCTGTGAAACCTGTGGCCACCCCTGTGAGGAATGCAGATTTGATGGAGAGGCTACACGCTGTTAGGGGGCCTGCTGGGACGAACCCCTCCCTACCCAGTAGCAGCTCGAAAGCTCCCTCCCAGTCCGTTGCTGCAAGCGCAGCACCCCCACCCCGACCGGTGCCTGCAGTGGAGCCCACCCCGACCATCAACTCTGGCACGCGCGAGAGAGAGTACATGCGCCTCGTGCCCTAGCTGCCCTACATTCCAATATGTCATGTGGCATTCTGAACTTTATATCTGTGGGCTTTGTTTGGTTTAGCAACCTAGGATCGCTTGATCAAGAGTGGTACAGTGAATGCCACAGCCTATCCTTCGATGCATGCCCTGGCCAATGGCACGCACAAGGACCCAACATTTACGGAGTAGATTGTGTGCACCTTTTAAGTATGTAGGGTTGTGGGGTTGAGGGTTTTTTTCCCCAGGAGAAAGGAGAGCTCCTCAAGCGCTGGGTCCAGTCCGGCGAGAACCTTCAAAGCTGTGAGTATGCTGTCACAGCCAGCCGCAGCAACAAGCTTCGAGGACAATCGGTCCGAACGTTGGTGAGTGTCAAGGACATGTCGAAGAGTCCTTATTGTTTTTCGGAGCATCTTAGTTGCAAGAAAAAATGTCATGGTTACTAGCAGGACAATGCCTCCAAAAAGCTCCCACAGCCAAGGAAGAAAATAGCCTACATAATTGCCAACCAGCCTGGCGAGCAGGACCCAGCATTGTCTTCCATTTGGTGATGGCCGGGTAATGTTTTCTAAAGGTGTGATTTTGTACGATAGCAACAATCAGGACCCGGATTGCCCGGGGGTGGTCGAAGAGACGAAGTATTGGGTTCTCACAGCACAGACCAAGACTGACACCACGGATGTTGAGTGGGGTCCTCACATGGTGTTTCAAGCTTAGCAATGTCCTAAAGAAGGCTGTGGCTCTGGACTGAGGCACCGGGAGCAAATCAATGTTCGGGCAGCCCCTACGGGAGAGAATGCTTTGAACATCCTGGCAGCCCCTGTTGTTCCTAATGGCCAGTCGACCACGAGTGACGCCGAAGCCTGCTCCCCTGTCTGGCGATGTCCTTCGAGCCTACGATTCCTACAGGGGCCAACTTGAAGCTGCTGCTGGTGTTGAGTCACAAGGTGCCTAGCCTTTGTTCTTGTATTTGTTAAAATTCTCACAACTTCTATCCCCTAAACCCTAAACCCGAAACCCTTAACCCCCCCCCCTTTAAACATAAGCTTCCCGAAGTGACATACTTCAGGCCGAGTCAACAATGGTGGTGCTCGCAGTGTTGCTTCGCGGAGAACAGGATCAGCCCGATCGGCTGCGCCCTCGAAGAAGGTGCCTCTCAACGAGGAGACGTTCCGCACAGATGCTGAACGCCATGAGCGGTGGAGTACCAGGGTTGCAGATAGAATGTTTAGAGATTCCTGAACACATGGAGCAGTGCTGAAACTGCATCTCTACCTTCTTAAGGTGCTGAGATGAAGAGGGAGGTGGCGGCAATCACTACCCTACTCATCGATGTGCCGCAGGGGGATGACATCAAGGGTGAGTTGGAGAAATTCCTCAAGAAGCTCAAAGCCATGACGTTGAAGAATCTCGAATTCATTCTTCTTGTATGACTGCATGGCTGAAGAGTTTTTAGGGTCCGGGGTTAACCTAAACAAATTCATTTTGCCCAGGTTCAAGGAGGCCAAGACTGCGGCTGAGATGGACTTGCAGTGCCCCCTCATCTACAAAGTGGTGTCTCGACAGCAATATTTACCACTACTGCCTTAGGTTTATTGCGGGGTTCTTTTTTGCAAAAGCTAAGATGACGGAGCTGAAGATCTTGAAGGGAAAGGCCAAAGGCCTTGTCAATGAGCTGAAGAAGCAGGGGTGATAGCCTAGCTCGATGCACCAGGCCAAAGATCGAAGACTAAATGCTACGAAAAGATTCCTTGTGGTTCTGTAGACTGGGGCTTTGCAGAAGGTAGAAGCTACCTTGTGCATCAGCTAGCTGCTGGGTTGGTGCTCCGATATACGTTCGGGAGCCGAAATTAGCTGAACATGGCATGGGCTTACCCATGCTGTGCTTGCAGGGGCTGTGCCTTTTGAAATGGTGCAAGTACGGGGTGTCACTCGCGATCATTCGTCTGTCACTGAGAAAATGTTGCGTCTCTGTGCTTAGTAGTGCTCTGCAAACTCCAATCGATGCATGCCCAAATGCCAGCTTAAGCAGCTGCCCCGCCCCATTCCCAAACCTCCTAGAACCCAAGATTGGCGCAGGTGAACACGCGGAGCCTTCGTCGTCATCCTCTGTGACAAGGTTGGATCAGAAGAGCCTGGGTTGGTACTTGGGGGCTTTTTGAGGCTTAGAGCTTTTAGGGTTTAAGGCTTTTAGGTCTAGGGTTGGGGTTATATTGGGTTGTACGTACAAAAAACACAAGCATATAAAACCAAAGCTAGAAGTCCCATCTTGGGTATTAAGGCAGTGTTCGTGAAAGGGTTTAGGTGGCTTTCGTGTTCTTGTCATGGCTTGGCGATACTCGCTAATGTAAAAAGGGCTTCGCAGCTGAGGATTGTGCAAGCTATCTGCGAAGGACAGTCTTCGATAACATTGGGGTGTGAGCTTGGTTCTTTGGCAACAATGCATGCTTTGCTTTTCGAGTTCCGGAGGCTACTGTTAGGGGTCGGGGATGTGTTAGTTTTGGGTGAACCTTGAAGTGCTAGCGATCTGAACTACAACACAGTGCTGAGGTGATATCTATGGCAGCTACTCACTGGGAGGCTACCAGTCGAGGCCCCTCAGGGAAGCTGAATTCCATCAGAGACTTCAATCCCTGGGTTGCGCACACCCCTTCGAAATCCATTGGCGCAATATCCCTTTAATGGACGAAGATTCTCATGATGAACCGGTCATGAAGATACAACCTTGGCCCCTGATCCTGCCAAGCACTATAGCACCCCAGTGGCATCCAAACCTCCTTTCTGTTTTTCTTGTTTTCAAACACTTTACAATGATAGGGTTTGTGCTATTGCTCTTCGCTAGATTTTATCTGAGGCAAGAACACTGCTAACCACTGGCTATGCTGAATTCCTGGGCAATCGGGATCTTCTTGAACAGTACTGGTCTCAAATGGCCGAGAGTCTCGAGAATGCGCCAGAGCCATCCCAGTGGTCGAGTACGTTTCCTTTGTGTCTGTGGGGCGACGAGGGGACCATTAAGAACTCTTCATCGTGGATGTTTGGGACTTTGTACCGGGGCCATACTTAGGGGAGAAAGGCTTTTCTTTTGGTTAACTATGAAAGTTTTGGAGCTCCATTTCGGCCACGGTTTCATGCAAGGATGTTCGACTTGTCGCCTTGCAGAACAAACAGCAAGGCTTCCAGGTACATTATGTACTCTCTACCGGTGGACAAATATGCCTTCGATGGGAACCATATCAATCTGACACTACAGTTCATGATGGCCGAGATTGTTTCCGACCTGAACAAACTGGCTACTGAGGGCCTCAAGATTGGTGATGAAGCTTCTGGGGTCAAAAATAAGTTGTTGTGCAGTGTCATGAGTTAACCTAGTGGTTTCTGGATGGGTGTGGGCTGCTGAGGTTCTGCGCTTTCACCTTGTCGCTTACAAGGGCGATCTCAAGTACTTGCAGCAATCCCTGAACCTTGTTAGGCATGCTGCCAAAGAGGAGGTGGGCAAGGGCCGAAACCTTGCTTGAACCCCAAGAAACACGAAGCCTCTAGCCCCGAGAACCCCTAAACCCTACATAGGAAGCCCAAACCCTAAACTTTCAGAAACCCTAACCCTATAGATAGGTGTTTTTTTCTTTGTCAGCTCCCTGTGCAGATATGCTATCGGTGTAGAGCATCCAAAGGCTCCGACAATTTCCGTTACTGCTACACTGATGTTTCGGAGCATGCTGCTTGGCGCGAAGAACCTGTTGGACCTATGTGGGACACTCCACCTGCAATGAGTGATCTCACAGGTTTCTCACAGGGACTGATAGCCCTGGACATCCTGCACGTGCTACATCTCGGTGTGATGCGAGATGTGGTGGGCGCCGGCTTTAAGATCATGTGCCGGAACAAGGAATATTACAGTGGGCGCACTATTGCAATACGCCTGCGGCAGTTGACTTCTGATTTGAAGTCTTGGTGCAAGACCAATGGCTTAAGCTTAGGCATGAAACGCATTCGCAAGGCAACCTTGCATTGGAAAGCCGATGCTTGTCCGGAGCTCAAAGCAAAGGGAGCTGATGCTGCGGTCTGCCTCAGGTTCCTGGCTTTTAAGTTGATGCAGCGCCCCCCCTCCAAATACCATGGATTGGTGGCTGCCTCGTGGGCCCTGGAGCACTTTCTTGGTTGTCTGGCCCATGCCTCTCTCTGTTTAACACCGGACGAGTGCAACACAGCCTATGCCACTGGTATGTTATTTGTACGAACGTACATTTCCCTTGCGCGCGAAAGCCTGAGCGGCTCAAAGCCCGAGCTGCTATTCAAAACCCGACCCAAACTACATTATTTGGTGCACCTCATCGAGGACTTGCAGCTGGGGTCCAAGTCTTGTATCCGAAACCCGTACTATGACAGCACTTTCGTTGACGAGGACTGGATCAAGCATGTGCTTACCCTGAAGAAGCGAATGCATGCAAAGACATGCTCCCTTAATGTTTTGAAACGGTTTGCGGTGCTGAACAAAGCCACCCTGGATGCCCTCAAGAAGTGAAAAATCACAGCCAAGACTCGCTCCGCAAGCTGCAGCAGCACTGGCTGCTCTCTGCTTGTTGTGCATGGGTTGTTTGCTTTGGAGGGTCATTAAGGGTTGCCTTGTTTACTTTTGATGGGGTGCGTATGGGAAATTTGTATTCAGGGTGTCAAGGGCAGGGAAGGCCAGGGATTGTATACCCCAAAACCAACCATTCCTTACACACGCACACCCACAGTACTACATTATACATCAGTCTCTATATGTGCTTTACAGCCCAAACTCATTGACTCAACCCTCGGAAAGCCCCAGTCCTGTCGCTAGACCCTGTTCCACAAAAACCCGAAAACCTGAACAAGAATCGCCTTCAAGCCCTAACACCTTGAACCTTGAATCCCTAAACCCTCTACCCCGCCCTATTGAACTAAACCTTATATTTTTTCACTCGCTTAACGTATAGGGGGCGTTGGGCTCAAATAGTCTCAGCTCAGGCTCAACTATGTTCAACTGCAGGCTTTCAAGCCTAGTCTGCAGCCCAATGACAAATTTCAATTTGGTGATGTGTCTTCGCTCAGTAAGGTGCTGCCGATGCCCAAAGTCGCCGAATGTGAACTTTAAAGTTGCGAAATTGCAAAGTGGCTTACCAATTGCAATGCTGGATAAAAGATACCCTTTCTTATGTATTCTC